GATTTAGATAGTTGCGTGAATGAATTGCATGTGGGCGGTGTAAGTTAGAACAGTGGTCTGGGGAATTATAAGAGTAAAATCATAAAATTTAGATTGTTAATAGAGTACATCTTATAAAATTGAATAGCCGCAAGAATGTATTTAAGCTGTGTTTTTTGTCTTTTAACAAAATCTTCAGAATTCGCTTTTTATTATAAATTTTATTTGAATTGAATTTCGTTCTAATAAATTATACTTAAAATCGTTTAAATTTTTGTGATTGAAAGTTTTATATATTTGTAATCCTAAAATCTTCAGTAAATTTCATATAATAGACTTCCAAGTCAATTTTCGCATCGTATTTAATAAATCAAATTTCTAATACAATATTTATTTCCATACAATTATTAAATTGTTTATAAATTTTATTATAAAATATGTGTTTATAAATATATGCTCAAGAATGGATTCTCAAGATTCTAGCTCAAGTCTTCAAAGAAATATGTACACTGATGAAAGCGACAGTGAAAATAATAATGATACATCCTCTATTACGAATACGACAACTAGTACTAAGAAAAAAACAAACAAAAGTAAAACAAGCTTTGTGTGGAAATACTTCGATGTAATTGGAGATAAAGATATTTGTAAAGTTATAGTAAAAAAAAAAGATGAAGACAAAAAATGTGGAAGTGAATATATTCATGACGGTTCAATATCGAATATGATTGCTCATCTAAGATCATCGCATAATATTGTGGATAGCAAAAAACTAAAATCCAAAACACAAATACCAAAAGATCGACAAACTACATTATCAGCTCTGATTCGACTTAATATTCCATATAAAGGCGATAAACTAAAAGAAATAAATAGGGCAGTTATTGAATAGATACTTCTTGATAATGAACCATTGTCGGCATCAAGAAAAAAGAGATTTCGTCGAATGATGGCAAAAATTGATCCAAAGTTTCATCCGCCTTCTGATAGAGTAGTAAAAAATGAAATAGCATTATGCTATTTGAAAAAAATTGAGATTCTTTGGCGTGAAATATTATCAACTTGCGAAACAGCTACAATAACATTTGACTTATGGACTTCATGCAATAAATAAGGCTACATTGGAGTTACTTGTCACTGGGTAACTCCTGACTGGTCATTGCGTAGTATATTATTGTGCTGTGAAAAAATGTTATACCCGTATACTGCAGAATCTATATATCAGTTTCTTCAAAAAAAATGCTTAGAATTCAATTTAGAAAATAAAATTACATGCACCATTACTGATAATGGTGCTAATATGGCAAAAGCTATTCGATTATGGAATAATGTTACCTGGCTGCCATGTGCTGCGCACACTTTGCAGCTAACAGTTAATTACGCTCTACAAAAAATCCGCTTACATACAAAAAAAATAAGAAAATTAGTACATTTTTTCGATTCACCAAAACAACAAAAAAGATTAGAAAAAGCTCAAATGAAAGTAATGGAAAGGGATAATTTACCTTTACCTAGTTTGGTAAATACTGAATTTTATTTTGAGGAGGAAGAAGCCGGTGAAGTTAACGATGGAGATACAGATTCGGAGCTATCAAATATAAATCCTACTTCTAAACCACTTCGTCCAATTAAGGATTGTCTAACACGATGGAATTCTACATATCGTTCTTGGGAAAGGTTATTAAAATTAAAAGATGCAATAATCTGGTTAGAGGCTAATTTAAAATTTTCACAAAGTTCAGATGATAAAAAAGATGGACAAAGCCTTAAACGATGCTTACTTGATGAAAATGAATGGAAACTAGTTGAAGAATTAGTTAAAATTTTTGAACCATTTGAAATAGCAACTAAAGCATTCAGTGCCAAAAAATATCCTACGTTATCGGTTGTATATCCTATAATCGAAGTTCTAAAGTCTGAATTTGGAAAAGATCCAAATTTAACTCTAAATGAAGACAATTTTGATGAAGAATACTGTAATTAATATAATAAATTATTATTTTGTATTTGCTACTACATTACTTAAAATATTAATATTTATCTTTTACAATTAAATATAGATAGCGATAGTAGCTATAGTGAAAGTGAAGAGGTTCAGGGGGTAAAAACTTGCGACGTTTAATCAATAATTGCTCAAGTTAAACAAGCAATTTACAATTCACTTTGGAAATATTGGGATGAACCAAAAAACGCCGGTCTTTTGGCAACTCTACTAGACCCAAGGCTCAAAAAAATACGCGCTTTGTCTAATTATTTTAAAAATGAAGCAATTAGTGCATGCTGTGAAAAACTTGATAATATTATTATCGATGTAAC